TCATATCGCCATAAATTTAAGATAAAATTTTACTACAATATAGTTGTGTGTCGCCAAAGTGGGAGTTTGGGGGCTGCCTGACCCATTTCTTACACCAATCCTTACAGCAAAGAGAAAGAGTTCACTTACGCTGACCTCTGCGGTTACACACACAAAGTGAGGGGCAATTGCATGTATATATATATGTATATATATGTATATATATATATATATATATATATATATATATATATATATATATATATATATATATATATATATATATATATATATATATATATATATATATATATATATATATATATATATATATATATATATATATATATATATATATATATATATATATATATATATATATATATATATTTTTTTTTTTTTTTTTTTCCATATAGATCCACATGAAACATGGATAATACAAATCTTGATAAAATCACACGGAAAAGGGAAACAACGGAGCACCTTAGCTTTCTTCTTTATTCAAGACATCTTGAGAGGCAACAGTTGCATCTGAATATATACAGTATTACCCCGCTTAACGCTGCTTCTAGCGCTGCTTACCGTGATACGCTGTGCCTCGCCAGAGTCAACTTTCACTTAACGCAGGTTTTTCCAAGTATACGCGGTGAGTGTCCGCTCGAGCTATTTTTAAATTCTCCCACCCTGCCACCCTGCCTGACTGCCTGTTTTAGCTCATAAAATTCATACAAATTACCCAGCCAGAATACAATTTACATTGCTGGAATTCTTACAATATGATGATCATTTTGAATATAAACATCATAGATTTTGCATTAGACATACAAATTTTAGATATATGTTTACTCTGAGTAAATATGTTATTTTTTCTGCAAAAATATGACATTTGTATTCAAAATATTCCTGGGCTTACAAGGAATCCAGCAATGTCAATTGTATTATCCTAACTTTAGTTTGAGGTATTATTTATTAAAATTTAGTGGTTCCCCAAAAAAATTTCAGAGAGGAAGAGCCAGCAGTAAGTGTGGAGAAGAGGGGGGAGGGAGTTGAGTCCATTGTTTGAATGGACATTGTTCCTGCATTATATTTCTCTCTATTTCTCTTAAGTATTAATTTGTGTGCATACCATCATAAAATTACGATAAGAGTTTTTACTAGAACATACGACAGGAAAAAGTGGAGTTTGGGGATCGGACTCAGTTTCTTTGGCTGGAATTAATCCCATATGTTCTGCTGTTCAATTTAGCGCGTTTTCACTCTAACACGGTACCCTCAGGGTTTTATTGACGCGCTATGGGCACTACTGTATACAGCCAGACCCTGACTTCATTTCACTACGGATTCACGCCCACAGGTACCACGACCTGCTTTGACCGTGACGCCCATACGTGGACATACCATCATGCACTGTCAAATAAAAATTCTTCTTAAATGACGCTACAAGATTTTCTATACCGAACGCTTTCTTCATTCCGGCGAGAGGGAGGTGTCTTTAAGTCGCTTTCGTAAGTACACTCTTACCAGTGGAGCGCTTTTGTTTGAAGCTATTATCGCATTCCTATACTGATCGCACAGAACTTTCGTTATTATCGTGATTTAATTGACTTTATAATGACTACTGGAAAGCTTTAAAAGTGAGTGCTGGTGGTGCTCCAAGCGAAAGGAGACAGGCAATTACTTTTGAGATGGAAACTGAAGATAATAACACAGTATGAGTAATGGAAAACAGTAGCAACAATCTCTATCACACCTAGGTTTTCACACTCCTAATTTACATATCCACTATTCTGAAGGACAAGGAACGATTCGTAGGCGCAGTGAAAGGAACAACACCTATAAAGGGAACTTATACATCAAAGAAAAGACAAGGTCCCATCTACGTATATGGAAAAAATTACAGATATGGCTAGAAGACCTCAGACAGAAGCATGTACCCTTAAGTGTTTAAATCCATGGCATAAAGCAAGAAGCTCTGTTCCAAAGCCCAAAGGGAGCAGGCAGGAGATGAATGTGAGCAAACTCTTTACAGGAAGTCATGGGTGGTTTGATAGGATTTAAAAAACGCTACAGCTCCACACAATGTTATAGGAGTGGAGAGGTTAAAAGCCGATGTTGGTGCTGCCGAAGCTTCAAGGAGGAGTTGATGATGTGATTAGGGAAGGAATTCATTTGCCTGGAGCAAATATTCACGTGGATGAGACTGATTATTAAACGCATGCCTGAGCGACATACATCCAAAGAGGGCAAAAATGCCCCGATCTGGCAGCATTCATGACAGAATTACACTTGGTTGGGGGGGGGAATGCTGGTTTCAAGCTAAAGTTCTTCATGATCTAATATTTCAGAGAACCCCAGGCTTAAACATGTCAGCAAGCACACACTGCCAGTGTTTTATCGTATAACAAGAAACCCTGATGACCCTAGTACTGTTTGAAGATTTGTTCATGACTTGTTTCATTCCATTTGTTGCTGGTGTTGTCTGCAACAAAGGATTCCATTCAAGATTTCCATTGATTTGGATAAAGTTCTATCACCCACCATTACCTGGACATCTTATTATGCATTCCTGATGTTAAGGTAGTGTTATTCCACCTAACACTACCTCTATCATCCAACCCATGGATCAAGGTGCTACTGCTGCCTTTAAAGCGGTATTATTTACGCATATCAACCCCGCTTCAGGCTGTTGCTTGCTACTGAAGGTGAGAAAACGCCGACAGTTTTTGAAGGAGTTAACATTTTATCATGTATAAAGAACATGAGTACAGCATGGGGATCAGGTTACAAAACATTAATGAATGAATATGAAGAAAATCCTGAAAAGAGTTATGTGCAATAAGTTTCAAAGGATTTAATGAAAATGAAGTTATTTTGGATATTAGTAACAAGATAGTGAAAGAAATGCCGGAGTAGGAAATTGATACTCGAAGATGTTGACAGTTGGTTGAAAGTGTAGCAGAAGAGCTCAGTAACGAGGATCTTATTGAACTAGATGCACAGAAAGCTGCAGAGCAAGAGACAAAATGTAGAAGAAGAACCCAAACCCCCAAAAAGTTTCTTTAGTGAAATGATATGGTAGGAGGTGACAAGCGAATTAATAAAGGAATGCAAATGTTTGATGACACATCAAAATCTATAGAGCAAGAAAGCCAAAGTTGACAGAATGATCCAAGATGTTTGTTGTTAAGCAGGAGAAATTTATAATGAAAGAAAGCAACCAGTAGTCAAAATTGGACATCTATTTCAAGAAGTTCCCAGTACTGGCTCTCACGCCCCACCAGTGCTGTCTCTTTCACTCCTCAAGATGATCCATTACCTTCAAACCAGTAAAAGTTACCCCCTGTACATAAATCCCGTCTGAAGGAAATGCATATTGATGACCCACCCAGCCTCTGTCTCCTCTTTCTGTTTCTTCCACTATAGTCTCCTATGTATCCTGTAACAGAAAATTATGGGGGCTCTAAGGCAGATCCAGCTGACTACATTTAAGGTAAGTGCTCAGTCACACCTCGTATCCATTCCCTCATTATTTATTACTTACTGTTCGTATCCATTCCTCATTATTTTTACGTTTAGTGTACTGTATTTTAATAGATGGGTTGAAAAAAAAATTTTGATTTTTTTTTTTTTTAGATTTTTAAAAAAAAAAATTTGATTTTTTTTTTTTTTTTTTATCTATGTCGGACTTACGACCATGTCGGACTTACGACCTGGATTTGGTCCCTTAACCCGTCAGAAGTCGGGTCTAGCTGTATATATATATATATATATATATATATATATATATATATATATATATATTATATATATATATATATACAGTCAACCTCGCTTTACGCTGTTCCACTTTACGCGTTTCGCTTGGTACCCTGCCGAACTGGAATGCTCACTTTCCGCTGTACCCTTTTACGATAGTTGAGGCATGCTTATACATGCGCCAGTCATCAAAACATTACCGAGTTCTTCACCCGCCACCCACCACAGCCGGCCCAAGTCAGTGATAGTGATAATGATAGTGAGGATATGGACTTATATGGACTTTGAGGGGTTTGACAAAGAGGCCCTGCAAGCCTCTGTGGTGGATAGTGATACAATTGATACAAGTGATACAGGTGAGGGCCAATAATCTGCCCTCTGCCTCGGAACCAACCCCCATCCCTGTGTGCCCAGCCATCTTTTCTACTAATGCAAGTGTTAAAATCCTAATATTATTGATATTTCTCTTAATCATTAATTGTGTGTGCATACCATCATAAAATTAAGAAGTTCTTTTTACTACAACGTAGGTATTGTGTCTGAAAAAGTGGAGTTTGGGGGTCGGCCCGGTCTCTATTTCAATTAATCCCATATGTTATGTTGTTCACTTTACGCGTTTCTCACTTTACGCGGGCCGCCGTGGGTTGAATTAACCGCGTAAAGTGAGGGTTCACTGTATGTATATTCTTTTGTATGTACCCTTGTCAGGATTCTACTGGCGTTGAAGGCTGGAATCTGGAGGCATCCTAACAATGCTGTGTTATCACTTTTGGTCACCCTGTCTCTGCCTGTGAGGGAAATATTAAGGTCTCAAAGCTCTGCTTCAGTCATCACTGCAGCTGGCGGCCATGTTCTGAATGCCCACATTATTTAAATATGTCCGTCTCTGCAACTAATTGTTTTCTACTGAATGCCCATGCTGCAAATCTACACACATCACTGCAGATGATCCTCTGGCTTCCCATCGCTTCTGGGTTGTCTGTCCTGTACATCTACTGGATGGAGCCTCAGTATAGATTAAGGAACGTATCTAGTTACAGTTGGCTGAGATTATATGAGTATTGCATGGATTACAATTTGTGGCAACCTCAGTAGAAGAGGGGGTTAATTATTTCTTTAGAATATGTAAATAAATAGGTCATTTGGTGAATGTTCTATTCATTACCCAGAAGTGTCAGTTGGTAATAGTTACAAGAACTCGCAGGCTATTAATATTACACTAAACATTAAAAAAAAGTAATAAACATGAACAGTAATGTACTTACTCAGGATGGTAACATATTGCAAACATCTTTTTAACTACTGGGAATTTAGCAGGTGGAATGTCTTGGTTATTAACAAGTGTGAAAAGAAACGCCTTGTCTGATGCCACATATCTGCCCTTCATGGTAGTCTTACCCCATGGCACATCACTGAAGCCCCCACAGATTTCACCATGCTGACCCTGTTGGATGAACAAGTTTTTCAGTGATATACAGTATTTATTATTAGATAATTTTTATGGTTCATACAAATTATACTTATGAAGAAGTTTCATCATCAACACAAGCTAGTATGTTATTGATAATTACCATACTTAAAAAAAGTAAAATTAGCTGCAAAGGATGAACATGACAATAACATATCCAGCAATGGTAAAGATATTTTGACATAAATTCAAATATTGTTTTGATTTGCACATTTAAGAAGAGAGAATTTTTAATTTGTGGATGTTGAACTACAGGTTACAAGAGGAAGGAAAAGACATACAGGGAAAGATTTTTAAGCTCTGAAATTTAAGAAAAAATGAAGGACTGATATTGAAACCCCATTTTATGGATGAGCCTGGAACTAGGCAGGAAGTATACCCATGAATTATGGGGTGTAAACCCAGATTCAATCCTTGACTGGGACATATAAATAAATTATTAAAGCTTCTCTGTCACAACCAGGTCCCAAGAGGGACCTTAAGCTGCAGCAGTTCACAATTTAAAACATAAAGGAACAAGTATAGAGTAGAGAGTGTGATGTCAGCTAACATAACGCTTGAACTTCATCTACCTCAGCCACAGTGAGGTTGTCAGATGTCAAAATGTTTATTTCTAGTCTAGTGAACCCTCGAAAATTCGAAACCAGTAAATCAGGATTTTGAATGATTCGGACAAAATTTAGGGGCTATGGAGGCCAAGAAGGCTCCCTAAGAAGCATTCCCAAAACAAAGCAAAGATCATCTTAGGCCCGTGTAACTAAGATGTCAGCACGCGGGACATAGGTGCCCGAGGCGGGAAACATAGAGAGTTGTCAATTGTTGTTTGTGGGAATATTATTTCATTCATTCTAGTAATGATACAATGTTTCTTATTACATTATCATAGGTAACTGCATGGTCTATATAATCTGTTTATCACTGTGCCCATCACCATTTTCAAATTAGACTACAAGATATATATTTTTCCCATAAGTATGCCTGGCAACAGGAGCAGTAAGGGAAGTGAGTGATTGCGTTTGCTAGTTAGCGTGTCGGCTACTGTTGTAACTCATTGCTCCTCCCTACCATATTTCACTGGATTTACTGTTATTATTAGTGTTTACTGATATAAAAGTGCTTAATCATGATTAATCATGGAATTATAGCCAGGTTAATGTTGTCACTGTAACCACCAGGCTACTGGGCCAAGCTGTGAGGTATTATGGTTGTTTTTCAACTCACTACAGTGGTCTCTCGGTTAACAAGCACAATTCGTTCCAGAAGGTTGCTCGTAAACCGAAACCATTGATTCAATGGGTTTTTCGGTAATTGGTTCCAGCTCACAGAAATTTACTTACAAACTAAAAATAAATGCAGTAAAGTACACTTACTTTGAGGTGAGCATGTAGAAGGCTCCTGGTTGATGATGATGATGATTGGAATTAGACATGGGGGTGGAGGAGAAGGGAGAAGAGAAGGATGTGGGCGTGGAAGAGAAATCACCCCATGCTTCATACCGCCATTTCACCCATAAAATTTTAAGTACACTAGGTGTACTTCAAGATTATTTTCTTTAAATCAACACTGCACTGCTCTATATATTGTCAAATGTAAAATAAATTTCAGAATGACCAATAATTGTACAGTCAACCCTCGCTTTACGCGGTCCCACTTTACGCGTTTCCACGTTCATGCAGTACCCTGCCGAAACCGGAATGCTCACTTTCCGCGGTGCGTGTACCCCTTTATGCGGAGAGCGGCTGGCGGTCCTCTCGCGCCGCACCATTTTTGGATCCAAACCTCCCGCCATCTCTCCCGCCATTCACCATGTTGTGTAAGCGGCGCGAGTAGGTTGCGCAGTGTATGTCTTTGTTGCGTTATCGGTGACGTCATATGACGCAGCGGACTGTGATTGGGCAAAGCATCCTTACCTCCCTCTCTGCTAGCTGTGATTGGTTTAATGACGTGCCCCGCCGCGGGAACGTTCAAGCCCCTCGACCTACCGCGTCAGTTACACCCCTCCAGGCTACACCATGTATATCGGTATCCATTGTTCCATAAGAATGGCTTCCACCGGACCACCACCGCCACCACAAAGAAACCTTGCATTACCTGGACCCAACCGCCCTAAGCCAAAGAAGACACGACGTTCCTTAAGCTACGAAATTAAATATAAGATCATACAAGAGTTGGAGAAAGGAACAAGACAGGTAGATCTCGCGTGCCAGCATGGTGTTAACGAGTTTACGATCAGGACAATTAAGAAGGATGCAGCCAAGATAAAGGAGCACATGAACATCACAAAGTCTACAGGTGCTTCTATGATCAAGTATTGCCACAACCAGGTGCTTCTCAAGACAGAAAAATTACTTGTGAGCTACTTCGTGCGTCAGGCGCGACGGAACATGGCGGTGGACACACGCTCAGTTAAGGAGTACGCACGTGAACTGTATGCTGCAGTGTCACGAAAGATGGGAATTACAGAGCCCAAACCCTTTAATGCTTCCTCTGGGTGGTTACAGAGGTTTAAGAAGAGAAACAAGATCACCAATATCAACATTGGTGGTGAAGAAGCTAGTGCTGACCGCGTTGCGGCTAGGGAATTTCCTCCATTTTTACGTGAGATTATGGAGGAAGGACAGTACACCGACGACCAGGTGTTTAACATGGACAAATCTGGTCTTTTTTGGAAAAAGCCACCTTCCAAGACCTTCGTTGTGAAGAATGCCAGCAAATGTCGGGGCCGGATGTTGCAGAAGGAGCGCATCACCGTCCTGTTTACCACCAATGCCTCCGGTACCTGTAAGCTCAAGTTATCGGTGATCCACACAGCACACAAGCTGCACGCCTACAAGAGCATGGACATGACCAAGCTAAGTGTCCACTGGCTGACTGCACGTAAGGCGTGGATGTTCTCTACACTGTCCCTCTCCTGGTTTGATGACTGTTTCGTTCCCGATGTGAAGAAATTCTGTGAGCAACAGAATGTGCCATTCAAGATTTTGTTGCTGCTGGACAACGCGCCAGGACACTCGCCCCTACTGTTAGATCGTCACCCCAACGTAAAAGTGGTCTTCCTTCCTCCCAACACTACGTCTATATTACAGCCCATGGACGAAGAGTTAATCTGTAATGTAAAAGCTGCATTCTCTGCTAAAAAATTCAAGCTCCTGAACGACTACACCAACACCAAGGAAGAGTTGCGTAACCTGAGTGACACCAACACCGATAGCAAGAGCGAAGACGACGAGGATCAACAGTTGGCAGAGCAGGAAGTACTTTTAAAACAATTCTGGAGAACATTCAACATCAAGAAAGCTGTGGACTTCTTGGTGGAGGCATGGGATCAGCTGTCTGTAGCAACTGTTCGTCACGTATGGAGACATGTGTTGCAAGGCATTCCGGGTGTTAGGCAGAGTAAATCTGTGACTGGTGAGGTTCAGACTGTTGCAGTAGCAGTGGACCTTGCCAGAGAAGCTGCGTAGAGTGTTACAGCTGCAGGCTTCTCCGAGACCACCAACAACGACATTATGGAAGTGATAAGGGATCCTGATGTGACTACCGACGAGATGGTAGATGATGATGACGTCAGTGAAGAGGCAGGTGGTGCGTCATCCCAAGAAGAACGCCGCTTATCCCATAGTAATGTTAGGGGTGCCATCGAGTGTATCGAGAAAGTGAAGCTCCTCCTTTCCGACGACCCTGACGCAAACAGGTATGAAATCTTCACTACCCAGCTGTTGCAGACTATGGAGCCCTACTTCAAGGTTTATCACGACAACATAAACACCAGCCGTCAGCAAAGCATAACAGAGTTCTTCGCCCGCAACCCACCACAGCCAGCCCAAGCCAGTGATAGTGACAGAGGTAGAGACAGTGATGATGACTTTGAGGGATTTGTCAGGGAGGCACTAGTAAGTGTGGATGACACCGATGAAGACTCACCTGAGGGCCAGAAGCCTGCCCTCCGCCTCGGAACCAGCCTCCATTCCCCTACGCCGACCCATCTCCTCTACTAATGTAAATGTTAACCCCAACCTTGTTTTTTTCTAACCTAACCTTCAGTTTATTCTTCTCTTATTGACTGTTCCCTTCTATATTATGTGTGGGTGAATACCATCATCAAGTGAAGAGGTTATTTTTAGTAAAACGTACGTATTGTGTCGGGAAAAAGTGGAGTTTGGGGGTCGGCCCGGTCTCTATTTCAATTAATCCCATTTGTTATGTTGTTCACTTTACGCGTTTCTCACTTTACGTGGGCCGCCGTGGGTTGAATTAACCGCGTAAAGTGAGGGTTCACTGTACTGTAAAAATGTAAAAATAGTTTATGTTTAAGAAAGTCTCAAGCACTGAGCAGAGACACAAACTGACTCCTGCTGGGTGAGTCAAGTGGCTGTTTAGTGCACTAAAAACTAGTTTCCTGTACAGTACAGGTTGTACCTCTCTAGTCCGGCAACCTCGGGACCTGACCGGTGCCGGACCATGGAAATTCACCCTTTTCCTGGATAGATAGTGACTTGTGCTTATGCTTGGAAGCACTAGCACCACTTTCTCTGCATCATGGTCTCTTTGAAGACATATTGAAGGGTTAAATGTCGTATAGTAGCTTCTCAAATTTCGCGAGTTTTTAATTCTTAACGTATTTTATTGGAACACACAAAAAAATAAATAAATAAAAATTTTGACGGCGGAAACTTGAATTTCGACGGGTTTGAACGGCCCGCCAACGTGCAGACGACGTGCATAATCGTGTAAACAGCGTCATTTCTCTTATGTACAAAAGATTCATTATTGTTTATTACTGAATGTCTTTTTTATTGAATTAATGTTTATGTGTGCAAAATGAGCAATACAATTCATTAATAATACGTAGAATATTAAAACACACGAGGAAATGACACAGCATTGTTTTCGTTGATTACAAAACCAGTGACTGACTGGTTCTACATATAAAACTGAAGAAAATAAGACCTTGACTGTAGCTGTAGTAAAATTAA